GATGCAATATGGCGTGGGCTAGATACTGTTGCAGCATCACCATACAAAAAAGTCAGTGGTACTGGTAATTGCGATTTTAAAAGTTCACACATTCAAATAAACAGATTTTTAAACAAGAGATATACTTGCTCAGTCTTAATCGAATTTGATAGAGTACAAACTTCTTGAATCAGCTTGAGTACAACGCTTACACAAAACGGGGATATATATATATATATCCCCCGCCGGACACCATCCCGGTATTTCTGAGTCAAGGTTTCGGGTCCTGAATTTTTTATGTTACTAGGCCTAACAATCGGGTATTAAAGTAGGACTTTTAATGATGATAGGCAGGCTAGGCCTAAAGTGTAGGCTAGCCAGCCTTTCTTAAAAGGGCACTTCATGAAAAGGGCGGTTCGTTCGAACCCAACGAACCCCCTGTCTACGGGCTTGGTTATTATTATTATTATTATTATTATTATTATTATTATTATTATTATTATTATTATTATTATTATTATTATTATTATTATTATTATCAAAAATCTTCCGCTGAATGTTTTATCATATGTGACATGCAATCAACTTTCATTGATAGGCTAATGTTGTTACTATGATTCTAAAACATAAACCGTCTACCATCACCCACATACAAACCATACACATCGACAGTGTATTCAGTCGGAGCAGGGAGATGTATAATAACGAAGGTGTTAAGTTGATGAGTACATTTGGAAAATGGAAAATATCAATAGTATATTTATGCTTTGACTTCCTTTGATTTTATGATTTCCTGAAAGCAAGAAATTTAGACAAGGGCAATACAAAAAAAAACAATAACTATCTTGCAAATCATTAGTGTGAATCCAATCTTCCATTGTTTTACTTGGGTGTAATTTAATAAATTAACCACTCCTTTCCCATTTGTATTTTTTAAAATAATTTTCTTGTGTTTTAGTTTCAGATGCACTTCGGCTATCATTTCTTAAGCATCGACTCTTAATGCTGGTCAACACCGATGCAGTTCTCGAATGTTTATTCGAACACCCCCACCCCTTTAGCCCGTGAGAAAACTAATTTTGAACAAGCTATCAAATCTTCCCTCGAGTCTGGCTATAAAAAAGCAATACAATATATCAAGTGGATTGACATTTAAATGGTACGTACGGTACACAAAAACTTTTGAAGTTAAGAAACCAAAACACGGACACCCACCTGTGTCGTTATTGTTTAGTTGATTAGAAGGCGTCTCCAATTTAGAAATCTGACCATCCCCATTCCACCGAATCCACCTGCCATCATCGGTTTTATCTTGCTTGATGCGGCACATGTCTTCTTCAAAGTCGCATTTCAATCGTTCGCCACCGATTCGGCGTTTTCCGTGAGCGACAATTGTTAAGAACATTATCAAACAAACTACAGCTCCACCTCTGTTGAAAATCATTTCGTCTTGTCGATGATTTTAACAGGTAGATGGTCTAACTGATCAAATGTTTTAATAAAGTGTCTGACTTCACCGTCACCTTCAGGGGCTCGAGTAACCTAACCTGCGTGCCCCATGGCGTGACTTTTATAGCACCAGCGGCGTCCTTGAAGGTTGTTATTGAGACACGCATTGACGCATGGAAAATCGCTATCCTGTACCAACCAACTCCATGCATCCAGGTACGAAACGCCGACCTTTCTTGACGTCACAATAGAATCTATCATCCCTGCTCATCCTACCAATGATTTATGCAGCAAGTGTCGACTTTGACTTCCCTATCCGCTTGTTACCGGCTTGTTATTACTTGTAGATTTGTCAAACAGAGTTCTATAGATTTAGTTTATTGCTATGAATTTATAATTGGTCTATGCATTTTTTCCCGGTCCACTTATAATATTAATAGCTCAACAGAAAATACAAAATGCTAAAAGGTATTATTACAGTGATTCAAAACCTAATATTGCAAGAATTACTGGTTTGCGATGGAAAGGCAAGGTATACATTATTAGAATGTAGGTAAAAATGGCCCCGGAAAAAATGGCCCAGGAAAAAATGGCCCCGGAAAAAATGGCCCCGGTAAAAATGGCCCCAGTAAAAATAGCCCTAAATGACAAGTAGGTAAAAATGGCCCCAATTAAAAAATTCTGTATTAGAAATGATATTTTGTTTCAAATCTTCAAATATTTAAATACTGTATTAAGCATGAATTGAATCAATAACAAATACAGTTACACAACAGATGCAAATAATGTACTAAGAGATTATCAGAAAACAATGGCCATTGAATAACATTTTTGATAGTAGAAATAAGTTTTAAAAAACGTTTCCACAACAAAATAGAGGAATGACATACATACAGTACTTCAACTACCAAAATATGCAAATAAAAAGTGTTATTCATGGCTTTTTTTTATCTTTGAATATTTTATCGTTAAATATGTAATTTCTGCAAAAAGTAAAATGTAAATGGCAATTTATTTGATGTTAGATTCCTTTTAAAAACTAAATTATTTCAGATTAAAAAATGCATATGGATGAAAAAAAATTAGTTTTAATACAGAATTTTATTATTGGGCCATATCTGTACTTTATATTATTAGTTTGATAATCTTATTCAGTTTCTTTTGATTGTTCAGTTCATTAAACCAAAATCATACTAGGCTTAAATATTGTTAAAGCTGACTGTACAACAGATACATAAAACATTATTGTGTTTAATTAAGTTTCTTCATTCTACAGAGGAAAAACATTCTTTTGTTACATTTTAAGTGTTAAAGTTCCAGTTTAATTTTTCATCAAGGTAGTTGCCAAGATAGGCCTATTTGTGTTCACTGAAAATTTCCACTTCTTTGCTAATCATCAGATACATGATCATTTTTGGCTTTCCTGTAGTCAACTATAATTTCTTTTGTTTTATCATTCAGAACAAGATAGCCTACTTTTTTACTACACCTTACCTAGGCCTATCAGTATCATTCGCAATGTTATTGGAGTGAACTGCTGTACCCAAAAGTGATGAAGATGATGGTGATGATAATGATGAGAAGGAGGATGTATTGTGATGGACTTTTCATACATTATTGTGTTAATAGAGTGAAAGATCAATGAACCTAACGTTTTACATGCAGGCAACCGATTATTATCCTAACCGTAGTCCAATCATACCCACAGGCGAAACTTGAATAGCCATTATTATTAATATCATTGATCTCGTGACACCGTCATTATAATCGTTAGCACTATCGATAGTCATCATAACAGCATTATTATCATCATCATTAATATTATTAGCATCATCATTGATTATTATCATCATCATCATCATCATCAGTGGCGTAGCTACGGGCAGTGCAGGGCCCAGGGCTATTATGAGCCCATTCATAAATAGACTTAAAAATAATAATTTCAAATAATTTCGAACTTAATTTTGAAGAAAAGAAAAAAAACGGCCAGTGGGCTTCTCAATAATATTCTGTTTTCGAAGAAGTAATTATTGATTAATGTGTTGATTTCAATTAAGTGGTGTATTCAAGCACTTTAAAAAATGGGTAAAAAAGAAATTTTATTCATTATATTGACATCTGAGAGTACTATTTCCGGTCATCTAGAGGTGCTATAGGCCCTAATCATAAATTGTCTTACCTCAGCCAAACCAAGGTGGGGTTCAGGTGCTCTTCATCTTCCACCTATGTAACTTCCTCCTTAGTCCTCTCTATTTCGAATTCCCAGATCCGGCACTGCAATTGTTTAATTTTACGTGCCATCAATTTTCCTGATTAATTTAGAAAAGCTACTGAGACCGAATATATGCCTCTCTTAAAATAGTTCGATTATCATTAGTATTTATAACTAACCTTTAGAAGTAGGGGCATGAGTAGGGGGTGAAGAAGCAATTTTGAAGATGACTTTTCTGAAAACTTTATACATCATGGGCCCTGCAATAATAATCTTGCACTGGAGCCCTTTCGCGCCCTACCTGATCATCATTATTATTAGCATCATCATTATCACTTTCACCATATTCATCATCATTATCATCATCATCATTATATCATCATCATCATCATCAGCACCAGGGGTGGCGCCAGCGGGGGGCCGGGGTAGCTCTGTCGGGGTGAGCTGCCACCCCCCCCCCCCCTGCCGGGGAGATAAAGCATAATTTGTTTGGGAGAAAAAAAATTATATGTATTTTCTACATATTAGTAGACCCACCATCTTTCTTTTACAACGGAAGCTTGTTCACCACAAGGAGAGTTCTTCTACGAGGCCGTATTGTAGGGCTATCTTTTATACATCATGAAACAAACCGTCACCATGATCATCATCATAATCTTCACTCACAGTTTTCCGTGATGTCAAGTTCATTACAATATCTTTCTCATCATCATCATTATCATCATCATCATCATCATCATCATCATCACCACCATCATCTTCATCACTTTTGGGTACAGTAGGCCTAGTTCATTTCAATAAAATTGCGAATGTTACTTAGTATGGTAGGCTATAATACCAAAATGAGGTAAGGTAAACGCGTGGGAGACCAGTGACGTAACGCCTACCGGGTTGGGGCAAAGCCCCATTCCCCCACTCCCGCAGTACAAAGGGGACCCGAAGAGCGGAATCCGGAAGGCCTTACTCTAATAAACAGCTATCTTACGGTTTAGTAGAAGACACCTAAAGCTAGCAAATTAAAATGATGTAAGGCCAAATTAAAAATTACTTGTTTTGCGTGTGAAATGTTAGGCGGGGAGGGGCGCTTTTTGCCCTATCAATCTACAGTATCAGTAATCCACAAATCCCCGTTAGATTAGATGATTTTGCTTTAATAGGCCTACAATAAATTATACCTGGTTGGTGAAATCATTGTTTTAATTCACTTAAAATATATCGATTTTGATTAACATTTTTTGAAGAATATTATTTTTTTAAAGATTAAAACAATAATTCCCACCTCTTTATTTATTTATTTTTTATTTTTAAGGTGTTTGTCCTGAATTTCGTCAATTTGTTTTGATTTACTGATAATTTGGATTGATTGATTATCGAGTCTCGATATGCACAAAGTACGTCAAAGGTTCACAAATCCCTTCAACAACTTCCAACATTTATAATGACAGTTGGAATTGTTTCCTACAAAACTTAATGAATACTGAAAATACACGAAGATCCGCTTTTCCTAATCTCTTGAAAAGTGATTGACGGAAACTCTCTGTTTAATAATTGATTCTTATGTATATGTTTTTCATTGCGAGACAGGTCCAGTGTTTTTCTCTGTAAACACGGATGTGAGATGTCATTATCTGGCGCAAGTTGATCAACCAGTGCAGTTTCGAAATGTAACTTGTTTTTTCTGGTTTTGTCTCTGGATTTATTCTTGTATTTTCTGCCACCTTTATTTTTTACTTTGTTTATTCCATTTTTTTTAGCACATTACTGTAAATTTTTTTTATCCATTCTTTTAGATTATTGTTTGTTCTATATCACTTTTATATTGTTATTTTTCTTTATTTGTTTTAATTATTTTCATAATTCATAATTATTCATCTTGGTATTGTTAATCATCTTGGTAGTTTATTATTTTTAGTCTTTTATGTAAAAACCTCTTATTCATTGTTTTTAATAATTACTGTCTGATTTGTTTTCAAACTACTTTTTTTAATTGATTGATAAGTTTTTATTGTTACTTTAATATTTTGTTTGTCATTTGTACCTATTTGTTTATTTTACGACTGACTTAATATAGTTTGATAATTTTTAATTGTATATCCTTGAGAAAATTCTTATTTAAATTATTATTATTGTTTGTTAATTTATTATCTAAACTTCTACTGGCTTTTATAATAATTTGCATATTATTTTTAGTTTTAATACTTTTACGTAGTAAGGTTTATATCTAATGTTATTTAATTAATTTCTGATGATTTAGATTGTAGTTAAGATGTTTTCTGTAATTTGTAAAGCGCTTTGTATTCATAATAAAGAAAGTAAAATAAAATCTAACAATATATAACTACCGGTATTGCATTGTATAAAATCAGCCTATAAGATAATTAAGTTAATCATAATTTCATATATAGTCGGTATTGGTCAATCTTTGGCGGCCTTCCATGCATATTTTTATACCGATATACAGTAGACGGATAATCAGTAATGGAGTTTGCTATTGTTCCACAGTGTATTGCAACAAGAATAAAAAATATACAAAATCAAAATAGTCGTGCTTATCTTCGTGGCACCTTGTGTACATTCCCTCAATCCAAGCACAAATGTTCTATTAATATCTCTTTTGAATCAATAAGCCTACAACGTCCGGGCGCTAATGTATTTCCCATTGTATATTATGAAGATCACAGTCATACACGCTGATTGACCTGAGAACAAAAACAATGCCAGTTCCGCATCCCGGTTGCCGATAGTGTATGCCATGTACCAATGCTTCCTCAGGTCCTGCTGCCGGGCCTCGTAAGACGTCAGGACTGTATTTTGGGACCACGGCCAGTTACTGCCATCAGGAAAGAAACTTGTTTTTATTAATTTCTGTATCCACATACACATAGGCCTACATTTTTAACTGTGTGTTCGATAATATATTTTCGAACTGACCTTCAACCAAATGGAGAGCTTCCTAACAAAATTTTTCTTAACTTTTCTTGGTGCCATGTATTTCTGAACAAAAATACTGAAATCGGCTAAAATATTCATCAATTATATTATCGAACACCGGCCACTTTATTTATCTTTTCTTCATTCAGGATATGCTTACCTTCCAATCTCATTGTTTTGTGTTCTATTATATTCCTGTTAGAGCCAATGTGAATAAATGGTCCAAGTTAAAACTGGGACCGGATACTAAAATAGGCGGGGATGATACAAAAAAGAGAAATATACAGGAGGCTATGAGCTGGGCCCGAAGGCTGAAATAATGATGACGATGATGATGAGGATAATGATGATGCTGTCAATTAATGTTGTGATGCTATCTGCAGGCCCGTAGGCAGGATTTTCGATGGGGAGGTGCGTTTTGCGACCGAAGCGGACCTTAGGATGGGCGACCACCTATCCCCGCGAGGGTGGGGGAATCCCCGGAAGCTCCGACAAATAGCATTTTGGGAGGCTTAATGTAATTTCTGAAACTCATACAGTAATTCGTAATATTCTATTTAAATTTTCATTCATTTGGGTATTGTTAGGGACCTAAAGCAAGAGAAATAGAGGATGGGGGTGCAGGGAGGAACTTTCACAGACGGATGGTCAATGCCACCTCAGCCCCACCATCGTTGGGGGCTAAGGTAAGAAAATTTATGATTATGGCACCTCTAGATGGCCGGAAATGGCACTCTCAGGCAAAATATAATTAAGATTATTATTCTCCATTTCTTTTATAATTTTAGGGGGCTCTCCACCCCTTTGAATCCGCCACTGTGAAGTTGTAACTTTTTATGTCCTTTGCATAATGTAGGCCTACAGATGACATGGATCAATCTGCAATCAGTGGAACCAGATAATAATAATAGGTTTTAAAAAGTAGAATTTGGGGGCGGGGTGTGCTCACTCTCTGCACCCCCAGCCCCCGCCTACGGGCCTATATCTGCGAGAAAATGTACGAGTAATGTACGTAAAGATTCGTGCTTTACAAAAATGTATTTATGAATGTGAATAATTTTTTTTTACTGTGTTATTTATACACATAATATTGTCAAAATTATACTTGCCGTTAAGTTGACCTGTTTCATGAGGTCATGGCAGATGTACTTCGGACCATAACCAACCTGTTTCCTGCCTTAAATACAAACCAGTACTAATTAACGGACGCTAGACATAGATTCGTTGAGACCGTTTACCTGTATTTTGTTGCAATATAGATTTAAATTTTCTGAGCACTGGCTTTAAGGGTACCAGGGCATTTTTTGGGTCTGAATAAACAAATTTGAATGAATTATATTACTTAAGTTTAATTTTGTTCACATATTGTGCAGTAAGATCAGTTCATTGGCACAATAAAGATTAATAATAATAATTATAATATTAATAATAATAATAATGATGATGATGATTATGACGATGAAATAATTATACAGTACAGGCCCATATGTAGCAAACATAATTGGTCCGACCAACGAGAAGAAATCACCCCCCTCCCCCAACTTCATCCAGAGGATTATTTACTTCTGGCGGCGCCCGATGAGGTTCAAAGGTTTTTTTGATGGGGTATCCACATCTTAGTCCCATCATAGTTGGGGCTGCGGTGAGAACACAATTGAAATGTACCACCTGATGCCCGGAAATGGCACTCTTTCCTAATAATAACACCGGTAATATCTTTATTTAACCACAGAAAAAAAAACTTATATCAACAGTAAAATTTAATTTAAATATTACAATGCCGTTCTTCTTATAAGGTCCTTCAACATAAAATAAATCAGTTAAAATGACAACATGGAGCAAAATAAGAAACAGACTACAACATTAAAATTAGCAAATAATATGGATGAAGGTTAGAGTAGAAGTGGTTGGCGCATCGGTTGTGGTTTGGACTCCCTCGAGGTCGGGGGTTCAAAACTCTCGCTGTGCAAGTCGCTTGTGTCCTTGGGCAAGGCACTTTATCTACGGTTGTCTCTCTCCACCCAGGAGTAAAAGTGGGTACCTGGTAGGTTCAAACACAGCC